CCGTCACCCTTTGTTCCCGGGGCACATCCACGGGGCATAATAATGCTAACCATTGGTCTTTTTGGTATTTAGGGGAAATATATTGAAATTTGGTTTCCATGACGAGATGGTCAAAAGGTTGAATAGTATTTAATGGAGCATAACGCAAAGACTGTTTAATATTTCTTGATCATGTTTTCCACTGAGATCAATCTACACATGAACTGGTGTCTTTAGCTGTAAAGCAATTTAATGTTTTCTCCGATTTCCATGACAACAGATTGGACTTATGCACTCATTATTTATTGGATCATGGATGTATTGGTGCCATTTGTAAGACAGCAAGTTTGGAAATTTGTATTATTTCTGGTTTCAATGAAAGTAAATTAACTACAAAGTAATCAAGGGTTCATTCAGTTCATATGTGACTATACAACCGTTTGTAATTCCACACTTATCAATTAAGTGGTGAACGGGTCTATTTTTGCTTTATATATTTTATATTTTCTTTCACATATCTGTAATGTATGATCTGTAATGTTGCAAATGTTGTATGACAATCAAGTGAGCTACAGTGCCTCGCCGCGACGGCGATTCCAACAAAGGAAAGAACAATTGGATGTGGCCTTTCGGGATAGCAAATAGGTCTAGTTGATTGCATTTCAATCTCATTAAAATCATATCTTAGTTCTTGCTATCGCTAAACAAAGATCTGAAGACATCCCATTACGGGTCATGTCAGAACGCCCATTCATCCGAACAATCAGAGCGTCGCTTACCAGATCATGAAACATTCGTCCCCACTCGCCCCTTTCCTAACCTACAAGAAGACTCGTCCCCCTATCGATTAATGTTATGTGCGAAAATACGACAAACCAATCAGAATGCGCGTGTGATTTGAAGTTCTTCATCAAAGAATCCCTCGGAATTTTTATTTTTATTTTATATATGTCCTGCATCAAAAAATATACCCAAGGCACAGTTATTATTCCGCACTTCCCGATGTACTTTAAATTGCATCTGAAATATATATAATATATGGGGAAATATGTGTGAACCATTACGAAACGAGTTGACAATTGTTTTAGGTATGCCCGTTTGCGCTAAGACGGAACCCGGTCGCAAAAATGGCCATGAGAGAGGCACGAGTCACTATTCGGCTTGTCCCGGAATAACACGAGTTGGTCATGAATGATCATGAAAGTGACAGTCGGAATGTGTTTTCTGATCATGCAACCTCGAAAACGTTAACACAGGGTATTCCGAATGACAGTTACGGCCCGTACGACTGATTCTGTCAAAATTATCATCTATCTCTCGCTTCCGTGGGATAAACATTTGAACGGAGGAGGCGTTGCACAGTACGTGGGAAACACTGCCATACAATCTCAACCATATATTAGACATTCCGGAATGTTCGTTTGTTCAGTTTTCAAAATTTTAATCGAGAACTGTGTCAACATATTATTCAAGCGTAGTCACAAAAAGGAAAGTCGCCAGGTTGAAACGAGTGCCGTAAAGATAGAGAAAGCTGCTTTCTAATTTGCTGATGTCGACTTCTTGTTTGTCACTTCAGTTATCGGTCAAAGATCACGAAAGGTCGTTCTGACGTGACCCGTAATTGGATGTCCTCAGATCTTTGTTTAGCGGCAGAGAGAACCCAGATCTGATTTTAATGAGACTGATTGCATATGTTAATAGGCGTTTGTCGTATTTCAACCCTTCGGGAAAAAAACCCATTGGGTATTTCAAAGTGACAAATAAAATTGTAGAACGTCTTTGTCTGTTTTCTTCCCCAAAGAAGATAAGCCCACAGACTCTCCCTTTTCGACTGAACATCACGTGGCTGTGTTCCCGAGGGTGGCGCCACGATCTCCAACAGTTCAGAACAGGACAACATGGGGCAATGAGCAGCTTCACCGTGTGCAGCATACATTGTCCGATGTGTGATGTACAGGATTAGGAATATTGAAACTGAATGTGCAAAAACAAAGACAATTTGAATAACAGCAAAGTTATTGTCGAATCTCTTCGCATCTGTTGAACAGTTTGATAGAATGTATTTATTCCATTCAGTGAATCAGTTTTGACAGTTTTAGACTGTTTTGTTGAATCCGTCCTCATGATACATAACTTGTTTGTAAAAAGTACCGTTGTTTGAGGGTGCCAACCCCCTCCTCCCCTTTATCCCCAATGCCATCTATTTTTCACTCGAGTCTCAATTGCTCACCCCGAATGCTAAATACTCATAAAACAAATTTCAGAAACATTGAGAAAAGTCCGATTTCATGTAAACCTACTCGAAAAATACCCCCCTCAATTTTTTTTATATATACGTGTATGTAAAGGAAATGTTTGCGTCGTCCATTATTGATTTAAAAATGTTCAATATGCGTACCAAATACGTAACACATCCCGCGTACTACACTGCTGAGTCCCGAATATCTTCTAAATAGACCCCTGAATCCTGCTTACAGAAGGGGGATGGCAGCCTATTGTATGGTGTATTATGCGAAATGTCACTCAATAGTATGGTATAAGATGTGTTAAATCTCTCTGTGGTATGATATGATAGGTGATACTCATCGTGCAGTACATGCTATATTACCCTCCATATTGTGTAATAACACGATAAACGCTGCTCAAAGTAAGGTATATGGATAGACGACACGTAATGGGTGCTAAAACTTGACACACTCTTCTCAAAGTAAGGTGTAGCAAGACAGACGACACGCAATGGGTCCTATAACTTGACACACTCTTCTCAAAGTAAGGTATCGCAAGATACGCGACGCTGAATTTGTGGTTTAACATGATTGCACTCCATGGTGTGGTATAACATGACGCACTCTACTCAAAGTAAGGTATAGCAAAATGCACGACACGCAATGATGCCCCAAATCTTGATTTATCGTTTCAGAAAGAACTTTTCATTTCCATGACAATATGTTAACATTTCAACAAGCTCAACCTCCCCGTTTACATGTGCATTATGCCCCTTTGTTTCTGTGTGGTGCAATGTGTCGTAGGTGAAAGTATTTTTCATTTTTGTAATGCAACATTTCCAGGGCCCAAGTTTACCTGATTAACACGGAGAGTACAAAACGATAAGTGTCTGTTGTTTTTCACTTATAGGTAGAATGGATGAGCGTGTGAGTGAGTGAGTGAGTGAGTGAGTGAGTGATTGAGCACTCAGCAATATTCCAGCTATATGTCGCGGGTCTTTAAATTATCGAATCTGGACAGACAATCCAGTGACTGACATCATGAGCATCGATCAACGCAGTTGGGACACGATGACATGCATCAACCAAGTCACCGAGCCTGACCATCCGATCCCATTAGTCACCTCTTACCACAAGCATAGTCGCCTTTCACCCCGGATTTTCACGTGTCGAGTGAGTGCATTACAATATTCTTTAATAGTATTTCAAAACTTATTGTAAGACTACTCACTGACTCAACGACAATGCAATCAAGGTTGTGCTATTTACAGTAAGCATTAATATCAAACAACCTATTTCAAACTTTCCACGAGCCGAAATAACACAAAACTAAAAACCAACATTTTATATTTTATTTCACACAATTAATTAGCATAGATATATTGACTATAATAAAAGATGATAGTATGGATGTACATTGGTTGTTTATTTCATGTTCTTTTCTTTTCAAAATATAAATTCAACTAAACAAATAGATGCTCATACAATACAATCAACAAAATCCTTTCCTTTTGGCGAAATCTTTTAACAACCAAACTATACTAGCTAGGTGTTTCATTGACAAAAGCTCAACATAGTTATGATTTCTTTGAACATTCCATGATATCATCTATCTACATCCGCAGAAGTGAAAAAAAGCAACCAAAATAATAAACCTCAGAACAAGTTGATCACTTGTTGAATGTGCATATAAAATGGCACAATAAATATTTAACAGCCTATGGGTTATATACCGGAAAAAAATCAAACCTTCAGTTCCACATGAGTCCGATTTGCTACCATGGAAACGCAAAACATTGTGAACTTATAAAAGTCCTGCATGGAAAATTGCACTTTTAGCATTTTACCAGTGTGTATACAAAGCATCAGGGTTTACCCTGGAACTGCCTTTTAGAACAAATGCCGGTGATGACAGTGAATTGAAAAATGTCTTATTCAGAAAAGGTTTAAACGAGGATCCAAAATGCCGATGTGGCAGCCCCTGTGGAAATTCATATACTTTTTCCATTGAATGTCCTTTATTTAAATCAGATAGAAACGAATTGATGCACTCACTATTGTTTTTTGTGAAAGATGCTTGTGATGTAAATATTGACCTGATGCTAGTTGGCAATGCAATTTTACCTTATTATGTGAACGAAAACATATTTAGGAATGTACATACACATATAAAGTAAACAAAAAGGTTTGAGTTAGCAATGTGATTATACATACGTTTCTCTATAAATAAGCATGCATGTAAATCTATGGGAGAGGGCGTTCTAAGTTATGATATCTTGTGCCCAATCCTTTTCATGAGAATAAAATATGTTTAAAATTAAACTAAACAAATGCGGGTGAAACGGAAGCAACAAAGAAAAACCTGGAAGAGAGGCATTTAAAACTATATTTTAAAAAAATGATGCACAGCAACGCCGGGTCAAAGACCTTCCAAAATAAAACAAAAACAAGCCGACATTTCTTCGAGGATTCAAGCCCTGTGTGCTGTCTTGAAAAGGCAAACAAACACATCAACACCACGTCAAAACACCGTGAAGTAAACATAACTGACAAAACTTCTATAATCACATTATTCAAATTGATGACCAATCTATAAATCTACTGTAAACGTTAAAAGAATGCATGTCAACATTAAGAATAATACATATGATGATACTACCACACATGTAGAAATAGCGATAAATGTTGTACGGTTCAAGTTTGTATTGCTTCAATCGCCATTAAAGCTTACGTACAATATCTTCAGAAATTATCTCGCAAGAAATATCGCCCTCGTCATTGTAGCCATTTTTTAAAATAGAAATTGTGGAATATGTAGCGCCCTAAAAATATACTTAATACTTTTCATAAAGAGTCTGAATGTATACAACACATGTCGATTAATACCAAAGGAAAACTTTGAACACATTGGCCGCGCTTGTATTTGTCAAAAATTATCATAGCCAGATACTTGTGACAGAATAACACCTATATAAATTACGTCGCTAATGAAACGGGAAGCATTACCAAACAACTACAGATCATGTGACACTAACCATGTAAGAATACGCAACGCATGCTGTACACTCTGCTGGCCTCATTCATATAGAATATACATAACGATATCAGTTTCACCTGCTGCAAGATGGATACTGTGAAACAAACAACGGAGTTACTTCACAAGCAGTCAACACTATGAAGAAAACAACATGGGTTGAACATTTGTGAACTCCCAAAACTTGTGTGTTAGTTGTTTAACGCCGCACTCAGCAATATTCCTGGTATATAATCGAGTGTGGACCAGACAGCCCAGTGGTTGATATTATGAGCAACATTCCACGGCGTCGGGTTACGTGACATGCCATCAACCAAGTCACCGAGCCTGACAACCCGACCCATTAAGTCGCTTCTTACGACCAGCATAGGTTGCTAGAAACCGAATCTAACCTGGAATCCCATAAAAAGACAATAAGTGTTCAACATCAAATATGAACACACAAAGGCGCTAACGTACCGCTATTCACTGGCAACTGAAACCATGTCAGAAGTTGTGACGTTTCATATTTACTCGTTTCCTTGGCCTATAATGGCCACATCAATGATGAAATGATTGATCATTTTCTTGTTGTCCAAGTTTGTGCATGAACTTACCGGACTCAAGACAGTGATTTTAATGAATGTACAGCTATATATACAACCTTGCTTACGTGGACACCATTATGGCTTACAAAGTAGACACAATTTATGGATAACTCTTTCTTTAATACTGTAAAGGTATAAATCCTTATACCGTTGTCAAGCAAGGAACTATACCGAAACGTCGCCTTTACAGTATTAAAGAAGTTGTTATTCATAAATTGTGTCTACTTTGTCATCCGTCAACTTCTAAGTACATGTAATGCCTATCTAACAATTCATTATGGCTTTATTGGCATACAATGGTCACATTAAAGACGAAGTGTTCTTTCTCTGTCTGCATTATCAGCTTGGCATCGTCAATCAGCTCGTTTTCCAGTTACTCGTGGATCAAGCGTTCTATTTCGTCATGCATGTTCCTTCCTTTCTGTGATGATAATTTACAGGTTAAGTGGGTGTTAGGATGAGATCCAAAATTAATCATGACCCAGAGAGGTTTATCAAACGGGAAGGGAGTTACAGATGTGACGAGTTTCTGTTGACTAAGGTCCAGGACATGGACCTTATGTGTTTCCTCTTCAAGAACGAATCCCAAATCCAGGCTGTAAGGTGTACCACTCTCGTTCAGTGTAAGGTTGTCATCGGACAGATATAGTCCGTTGTAGTACACCTTTAGACATATTCCATTGTCAGCTGCGCATGTTACAAACAATACACTCAATCCAGTTGTCTGCAGCTTGTAAGCATCAAAAGGGCTGCCAGTCAAAGTTGCTTCGAAAATAATTTTATTGTTATCCGCTGGTGTTATGACAGAGTATGTGACCTCCATGCCGTACATGATGGTCTGTCCTGGCCTGATGACCAGAGGTGTTGATGTCAGGACAGTGCGAGGTGAAAGTTGTCGGCATCCTGTCCTTGGTGGAAGATGTTCTTGTTTGCCATTGGTGACAACTGGCCCCGAAACCGTCAGATCGTCACTTGCAATACTGGAGTCCCATTCCAGATCCGCATCTGGGGAGAAGACACATCGTCCGTATTAGGTGAATGCGTTTCCGTGTATGCAAACAACTAAACTAAATGTTATATTTGTGTGTGAATTGGGTTTAACACTGTTTTAACAGTAGAACAGTCATATCACGGCATGTCAGCTGAATGTGGGATTGAAGTGTAATATATATATATTGCTATGTTTTTCGTGAATATTAAGGATAAAACTATATGGGTTAAAGTATACCATGTCAGGAAATCAAAAATATTAGTTTAATAAAACGAAAGTCTACCTGCCATATTTGGACAACATTGAGTATCAAATAGACTGACTTCAGCAGGGGTGTAGTAATTAGTTTTGAATGTGAAGTCGGAATACGACAAATTCCGATTACTAGAAACGTTGTAATGTAATGAGTCATTGAGTGATTTGGGTTTTATTAGGCTTTTAACAGTATTCGGGCGGTCGGGTAGCCTAATGGTTAAAGCGTTTGCTCGTCACGCCGAAGACCCGGGTTCGATTCCCGACATGGGTAAAATATGTGAAGCCCATTTCTGGTGTCCCCCGCCGTGATATTGCTGGAATATTGCTAAAAGTGGCGTAAAACCATACTCATTCATTCATTTAACAGTATTCTAGTTGTTGGAGGAAAGCCCGAAGGGATGTAGGTCTCAGGGATGTATGTAGCGTACACAAGGGACGCAACTCTGCAAAGGCGTCTTAGACGACTGCCAGCTGTTCATTTCGTTTCGCATGCGAGACACTTATCTACCCTTTCAAGATATACTGGTTTCAACAACATGTTTTATCATATGGAAATTGTACATTTCTAAGTGCGATTTCTAAGGAAATATTCTACCGACATAAAATAAGGGAACTGATGAAATGATAGTGAAGGTGTAATGACGATAAATGTCATGTATATCAATCTCTGTTGTGCCCATGTCGGGCGACCTATACACGATACCCCGCCATTCTGCTACCACAAGAGCTACCCCTAGCTGGGCAGCATCATACCAAAATACGTTAAAAGATGGTACTTGTTGTTATCCTGCCTGGCGCTGTGCATTATTGAGCTAAAGCAAGGAGAGGTCAGCTCGGATAAAGTATACTGCGTCTGAGTTGGGTATTCATGTTAAACTGCAGCATGGTATCTCAGTGGGCTAAAACAATAAAACTGGCCGGAGTTGTACAATCAACCACACACACACACGTGCATGTATGTCGATAAATGGCAGTTTTTTTCTGGGGTAAGCAAACCTGGAAACCAGTAGCCCATAAAATCATGGAACTGGCCGTCTCTCTGATGCACCCATGCCAACCACTCAATCTGAGGTACATGTACGGAAGTGTCCAGTCGGAGTTCTAGGACAAAGCCCACTACTGAGGGGATTGACCCTCGGGTCATCCAAAGGGCTCAGATGAATATCCAGCAGAGACATGCTCTAATCCTTGGGTATGGAGAACGTTTGGGGGCAGGCCAAACAAAATCAGGGGTTTGGTAAACATGTAAACCCATCCACCCAGGAGACCTTTGCATCGATTTCTCTGTATTTGTCATCAGAAAAAGTGGGGCGGTCGGGTAGCCTAGTGGTTAAGGCGTTCGCTCGTCACGCCAAAGCCCCGGGTTCGATTGCCGACATTGGTACAATGTGTGAAGCCCATCATTTCTTGTGTCCCCCACCCTGGTATTGGTGGAATATTGCTAAAAGCGGCATAAAATCAATCAAACTCACTCATCAGAAAAGGGTCACAGCCTCGTGTCTGGAGATAAACTGCTGGAGGATAATAAAATCTCTAGCATTGGGTCTGTTGTGGAGAACCTTCTTCTGTCCAGATGGAATCCAGATCCTATGATAATGGCAACACTATGTCGCTCACATACCCATGGGCACCAATAGAATGATAATACCAAAGAGGATTATCCTTGGAATGTCGAAGATGATGGTCATGCCTCTAATGCCTGTCAATGCGCTAGTGGGTCTCTGGGGTACAAAGACTATTATGGACGAAGCCTTAAGGATCAGTGCTCTATCAAACACAGGTGGATTATACACATCCTGTCTGCATTTCGGACAGTTTTGGGGGATTTCAACCATTGCGTGAGCAAATCGTATATCTTAATGAAGATCCAAAAGGCACAGACGAATGATTTGCAACACTTGTTTTCCGTAAAATTTCACTGCTTCAACCACTCCCAGCAATAGAATGAGGATATGCTGGATACGCTGTGTTACTGTCTCATGGGTGAAGCAGCTGACTTCTAGAGAAGGATGAGTACATCAGCTGCCATGAAACGATCAAGAAACGCGAAAGGCGGTTTGGAAGATGATCTACTGCAGTCTTTCATCAGGCCTCGGATGAATCTCTGGAAGAATGGTTGGAGCGGGTACAGCAAGGAGAAATTGCAGCTTTAACGGATTTGCCAGGAGACTTTATGGAAAAACAGGTTGGTGCGGAGATTCCTCCAAGGAAGTGCTAATTAAGAAGCTTCTCACTATGTCTCCAACTTTGGTCTGATGACACTGGGACACGCTATTGATTCACAAGCAGTCTATGGCAGATCAACCATCCAAAGGGACGTGAAGCAGTTGCAGAAAGACTCTCCAAGGGACAGATAACCAATTAACTTACAATGTTATCAAACAGATCTGGCTGGTCAACAGAAGAGAAGACTCAGTGGACTGTATTTTGTATTAAGGTTCTTTAGGGCTTCAGACTATTGAACTGTTGAAAAAACTAACAATTGTAGTAAAAGAAGGTATGTCAGGAAGGTAGTACTATTTAATGTAAGCAGTGGTGAGAAAGTTATTATATTTAGATGCTAGTGTGATGTGTAAACTACCGGAATACCATCGATTGTGATAAAGTGTAATAGAAACATGTAGAATATTCTATGTTGTGATGACACTGTGTGGAAATTTCCAGTAGCTAGTCAGACAGGATATAAGGGGAAGAGCGTGCCTCTAGTATCTCTCACACATTTCATTACATCAAGTCCAGCTTTCGTGTGAAGATCACTCATCACCCCGGATTCCCTGCCTAGGCCATCCCAGAAAGCTTGACCACTGTCACCGTTGGGTGAAGATAGTATTATCACTGACTTTTGCTATCACCACTGTAGTTTTGTATGTGATACTTACCACTGTCATCATTTACATACTGTCATTGAATATTTTAAGACCACCATATTGTGTACTGTCATTGTAATTGCTATGAAGTAATTTGTATTGATTTGTAAACCTAGTCAATGTTGTAATACATTTGTTGATTGCATACCATTTGTTGTTTGTCTGTTGGTTTGACACTGAGTTCTTTTAAATACATTTTTCTTGGTTAACACACTGTTTCAATTTGGAAATCGACAGGTAAAAATAGTGATTCATAAACACATGGTTGTGATATTATCGGAATCACATAACAGATCTGCTTTTAACAGAGCTTTCCTATGATCATTGAACTGGCGTTGTCGCTTTTATTTACAACTTCAGTGTACTATGACTTTTTGAAGACACCATTCAATCTTGTAAAATTGTGACAGGTTTTAGAAAGAAACATCTTTATACAGACTCATTTGACATTACAGTAACTATTTAAGTAACTTAAATTAGTGAGGAGAGAACTTCATTGCAGTGAACAGTTGTACTGCACTTCGTGATGCTCTCCACATCAATAAAGCAACCTGAGGGTGAACTCACATGCGAGCGATCCTTTTACTCCCAACGGCTGCCCGGTCATATATGCAGCTGTGGACACAAATGTGTTAGGGTGACATCAGTATCAATAGACATGACGTGCCATTATTACCATGTGGTTCACAGTTATATGGGGATAGTTTATAACCGTCAGATGTCTGCACAGTTATGAAACAAAATGCACAAAAATATCAAAATAGAGGAAGTGTCTTTAAGAAAATACTTGAATTAAATTAAAGTACAGACTGATTACCTTGTGGCACATACTCGTGTTCAATAGTGATTGCATCGTTCAGGTCATCATCTTCACTTGAATTCTCTTTTGGTGAAAAGACAACTGATTTGACGAGACCGGCCATCTTCAACAAGGGGGTAATTTTATTGAAGCAAGTTGAAGCAAAGCTGACACCAGCTCTTACAAGTGACGCCTTTGGTGACATCTCCAACATGGCGCTCAAGGTGGCAGCTGAAGACCCCATCCTTTGTAGATCCTCTATCATGTCAGCTTTACTCCGCATCTGTCGTGTGTACTTGATAGATGATGTCACTTTTGCTAGAATATTACTGGTGGAATCCAGTTCCTCCTGTGTCAGCTTCAGAATCTTGCTGGATCTCCCTTCAACATCTGACAACAGAATGGCTCTCCTCTGCTGTATTTCATCAATCAATTCGTCAAAGGCTTTGTTGATGTCAACCACGGCAGCATGTTTTGACACCTGTATGTTTGAATGTCTTTCCTTGAGACCTTGTTTTATTTCCTCAAGTCTCTCTGCCTTCTGCCTCAGCTTGACTAAGGTATCGTCAATGGACTTTGCCTTTTTTTGGTGTGCTTCATTCACGGATACAACGTTGTGTCCATTCCCTTCCTTGTGGTCCACTACAGTGCAGGACACACAGACGATCTTTTCACAAGTGTAGCAGTAGAACTGTAGAGGTTGGTCGTGTTGTGCACACTTATGGTGACGTTTGAAACTTTTACCTGGTTGTTTTTTCATTTCCTTGAAACTGACAGTTTGGTGATCTTGCATCGACTTAACTCTTTTGTGGGCATTTAGACATTCTTGGCACAGGAAGACGCCACAGTCATCACATCTGGACATGGCAGGGTTACCATCAGGACAATCTGTACATGGCAGATGAAGCCCTTTCACAATCTTCAGATGGTCCAGGAGTCTTAGGATGATAGGCTCTTTGGGCAGAGACTTGACACCGCCCGCCAGGTTATGTTGGTGTCGACACATGGGACATGATAACGTTGGGAGTCCTTTGCTGTACGTCTCTAGACAAGCCTGACATATTGACTGTACACAGCAGGGCATGCGACGAGGTGTCCGTCTGACCTCATCAAAGTGTTCTGTACATATTGGGCACTCGGTGAGGAGGTCCTTGATGGCGGACGCCGATACGTAGTCCGACATGGTTATCTTGAAATATAGTTATTACATATGAAGCATTTTCGGATGTCTCGTATAATTTCGAGACACATCCAGACTCTCTCCCTATACGTAATACAATATAATATGATATTCTTTGAGGATATAGTTTCATATTATCACATACATATGTACATTATTTTGACAAAAAGGTAGAAAGGAAATAGAAACAAAACCTGGAATGATGGTATTCCTTCTGAGACAAAATGTAAGACATCGTATAATTATGGGAGCCCATGTAGTCCCTGTCAGGTATGCATACAGTTGGGAACATTTCATCAAAGATGGTCCTCATCATGAAATAAAAAACCTTACCACCCAGGTGAAAAGCACTAATATTCAGTGAATATATTTCGTAACATGGAAAACTAATAAAAGTACAAAAACACGGTTTTTTTAGTAGAAAACTCTGTTTATCCAGTTGACGGAGACTAGAGAGTGAATATGTCATCTGCTGGCAAATTGTATTTACTGTTTGTAGGTCGCACTTGAGAACGAGGCTTGGTTTTTACGGGAAAAGATATCAATTACAAAATTGAGGCTAAGCTCGCACACTGTATGCTATTTTAATATGTTATTCTGGTCGAAAACTCTTTGCAAATCTATATGTAGGTCATCTTGCCTTTGACAGTCGGTCAGTCATATGCCTGAAAGATCACCTCAACACATAAAGAGGTTTTTTAGGCGTGAGAACTACACAGGAAATGTCAGTATGTATGACAAATTTAGATTTAAAAATTCAACTGATTAAAAGACATTTCTGACATCTGCAATAGTCAATGAAATTCCAGATCAGGACAGAGCGTCGCTCATGATTAATTGACTGTAATATCTGTACAGGTCATCCCAAGTCAGATGGAGTGCTACTCGTTATCAAATTACTCATTGGGCGTAATATTTAGTTCTGTTCAGGTGAAGTGGTTATTCCGTGATAGTCTGCAACGTTATTCGTTGTCAAAATACATATAGGGAGTACTATTCCAAGTTTGTCAGTCTACCGGCCAGTACATCAATACTTTTCACGCTGGTGCAAAATATCCATTCAAAATGAATAGCCGTAGGTATTTATAACTCCTGAACTCCGGACAACCTAGCGGTCACCAAATAACTACACCCAGGACGCCCCCAGGCAGGGGACCCGACACCCGCCGAGACCCGAGAGATAAGGAGCCCTCCCGTCAACACAGGTAGTCAGATCGATCCACAGTCAATGAGCATGCCTAGCTCGTCAACCGGCACCCGGGTCGATAACTACCCATTCTCTCCAACACTGTCCGTTCTACCAGCCATGAAAAACCTAACTACACGACGTAACGAGCGGCAAAGGAATATATTTACACAGACATAAGCTTGTATTAAAAGCAGGTCGTCCATAAGCATACATTTACCACGCCCACTGGATACGATTTCGAATATGATAAACAGATAAGATGAGGATTTCGGTTTCCTTCAAAAGTCCTTCTTGTTCTTTGCGTTCTTGGTCACAACCTAAATTGTTTTGTATTCATTCCAAAGCGCCATTATAGAATTAATTCAAAGTGAACTCACTGATTATTGAAATCACTTACCTTGACTGTGTATTGTGAACAGACATATAACTCTTAGTCATCACTAGCTCTCTCTGTCTTTAATGCGTGTCAATACCACCATCGTAGTAACATGTCTGCCAGGAATGCGGAAGTCGTTATCCATGTAGTTATAGTTACGGGGAAGGTTCCAGACATGCGCTGTGTCTAGTTTCGTTTTGTAACTTGACGTTTATTGGTAAAATGTATATCACATTTGAAGCATCTTAAAATATTTGAATCCATATTGTAGTAAAGATCCTTTACACTGTTCTATGTATGAAGTCTCACATAAATATAACCATGGGAGGCTTATACAAAAACAAACTAGTTATGTTCCATTATACCGCAGTTTTTTAAATTTATTTTTTTATCGCTGAACTCAATATGTCAAGCTGTATTACAACGGTCTGTAAATAATTGAGTCGGACACACTAGTGATTGATATAACGAGCAACGTCTCACGCTGTCGGTGCGCGATGATACGCATTGAACCAAGTCACTGAGACTGACCACTCGATCCATTAAGTCGCCGGGACCTTTTCAAAGTATTCTGTGCGTATTGGACACTCGGTTACGGGGCATTCACATTCAACCAGTTGTACCGTGTGAATGCCCCTTTAGGAGGTCCTAGATGGCGGATGCAGATACATAGTCCGATATGCAGAACTGCTGTCGATAATAAAGTATGTTAACACATCACAGGTAAACATCTGAGATGCTTTTCCAAGTCCATTAATAAAAATATGTTTTGTTTATAATTGGTGTTGTTTATTGCTGGGTTCAATCCCTGGGCGCGATGATCTATGAAGTCAACTTTCCAGTAGTCCACTTTCCCTTCATGTCGAGTAATATTCCAGCAGCTCAAGCCTTTGGTGTTTACATTTCACAACTTTTGAGATACAATGAAGCATCCTCTTTCCACAAAGATTTCAAAGAGCGTCATACAACTGTTGAACAGAAGTTGTTTAATCAAGGATACAGCATTCAATGCCTCACTAAAGCTTTCAAAAAGTTTTATATTGACATGTGGAGGACATTTTCAAATGTGATGCATCGGTGACCGATGCAAACCGGGCTTGGATACGCCCACCTTTCCAGGAACACCTGGCATCATAACTGTTTGATAGTGATTCCTAACACACGCTCATGATATAGTCCAGATCGTACAATCGACTCTGCTTGTAGCAGAGATTTCTTATGAATATGGAAAGGGTTTTGTCGCTTTTATCTGTAAATCATAGATCGTGCGTTGTTAAAATACTGAAAATAAGCAGTCATTAATATATACATGTATGCGACAATGCGACAGTGGTCACGCTGACGATACAGGTTCGATTCTCTGATTTGGTTAGCTGCGAAATCGTGACTATTCACCGCTGCTTCTTTACTATCTTTATGAAATTTGTCACTGTATTAGCTGTACTAACGAGAAGTAACTAGCTACGTTTCGTATCCTGCCACAAGTATATATTCTCACAACCAAAAGAAACGCGAACCATGGAAACATATAGAGAAGTATGTACGTCAAGAAGAGATGTCCCCAATGTGTACCACTGAATAACATAACTAACGATCAGTCAAGTGTAACCACAGAGTGTCTTTATTCTTATCACGATAGGCTGCAAGTGATTTCCAACTTTACACGCAAATCCTGCACGAGGCGAGATGTAAAGAATTGATTCTTTGTTTATATGTTGTTTAAAGCCACACTCAGCAATATTCTAGGTATTTGACTGAAGTAAGGTATAGCAAGATACGCAACCCTCAATGATGCTCCAAATTTTGGTTTATCGTTTCAGAACGAACTTTTCATAACCATGACAATATGTTAACATTTCAACAAGCTCAACCTCCCCGTTTACATGTGCATTATGTCCCTTTGTTTCTGTGTGGTACAATGTGTCGTAGGTGAATGTATTTTTCATTTTTGTAATGGAACATTTCCAGGGCCCTAGTCTGCCTGCATAAACACGGAGAGTACAAAATGACAAGTATCTGTCTGTTGTTTTTCACTTACAGGTAGGGTGAGTGAGTGAGTGAGCACTCAGCAATATTCCATCTATATGTTGTGGGTCTGTAAATACTCGAATCTGGACAGACAATCCAGTGACTGACATCATGAGCATTGATCCACGCAGTTGGGACACGATGAGATGCATCAACCAAGTCAGCGAGCCTGATCACCTGATCCCGTTAGTCGCCTGAAGACCTATTCTAACCCGAGTCGTCACGGGTCGAGTGTGTGAGTGTATTACAATATTCTTTAATAGTATTTCTAAACTCATTGTAAGACTACTCACTGACTCAACGACAATGTAATCAGTAATCATTAATGTCACACAATCTATTTAAAAACTTTCCGTGAGCCGAAATAACACAAAACTAAAAAGCAACATTTTATATTGTATTTCACACAATTGATAAGCATAGATATATTGACTATAATAAAAGATGATAGTATGGATGTACATTGGTTGTTTATTTCATGTTCTTTTCTTTTCAAAATATAAATTCAACTAAGAAAATAGATGCTCATATAATACCATCAACAGAATCCTTTCCTTTTGGCGAAATCTTTGAACAACCAAACTATGCTGGCTAGGTGTTTTATTGACAAAAGCTCAACATAGTTATGATTTCTTTGAACATTCCATGATATCATCTATCTACATCCGCAGAAGCGAAAAAAAACCCACACCAAAATAATAAACTAAAGAACAAGTTGATCACTGTTGAATGTGTATTCAAAATGGCACAATAAATATTTAACAGCCTATGAGTTATATACCGGAAATGGATCCAACCTTAAATTCAACATGAGTGAGTGAGTGAGTTTGGTTTAATGCAGCGTTTAACAGTATTCCAGTTATATCACGGCGAGTCGGCTTAATGTGGGAGGAAAGCCCCGAAGTGATGCAGGTCTCAGACGTTTACCACTTCGGTGAAACCCACGAGCACGGGTATGGTGCTGACAAATCTAGAAACATAATCCGGCCGAGCCTGGATTCGAACCAATAAATCAAAGGTTTCTGGCGTGCCCAAGGGACGCAACTCTGCACAGCGACTCGCGGCGCCTTAGATGAATGCTCCACACACCCCACACCCACCCCCCCCACACCCCCCACCCCCCACCCCACCCCACCCCACCCCACGACTTGCTACTTTGGAAACGCAAAGAATATAAACTTATAAAAGTCCTGCATGGAAAATTGCACTTTCAGCAGTTTACTAGTGTGTACACAAAGCATCAGGGTTTACTCAGGAACTGCCTTTTAGAACAAAAGCCGGTGATGATAGTAAATTAAATAATGACTTATTTAGAAAAGGTTTAAACGTGGATCCAAAATGCCGATGTGAAAGCCGCTTTAAAAATTCATATACTTTTTTCATTGAATGTCCTTTATTTTAATCAGCTAGAAACGAATTGATGCACTCACTATTGTTAATTGTAAAAGATACTTGTGATGTAAATATTGACCTGATGCTAGTTGGTAATGCAATTTTACCTTATCATGTGAAGGAATGTACATACAGATATAAAGTAAAAGGTTTGAGTGAGCAATGTGGATGTATATACGTTTCTCTATTTCTTTTCTTTCCTTTCTGTCATTTAATTTATTAATTGTAAATAAGCATACATGTAAATCTATGGGAGAGGGCGTTCTAAGTTGTGATAACTTGTACCCAATCCTTTTCATGAGAATATGTTTAAAATTAAACTAAGCAAATGCCGGTGAAACCGAAGCAACGAAGAAAAACCTTGACGAGAGGCATTTAAAACTATATTTTTTAAAAATGATGCACAGCGACGCTGGGTCAAAGACCTTCCAAAATAAAAACAAGCCGACATTTCTTCGAGGATTCAAGCCCTGTGTGCTGTCTTGAAAAGGCAAACAAACACATCAACACCGCGTCAAAACACCGTGAAATAAACATAACTGACAAAACTTCTATAATCACATTATTCAAATTGATGTCCAATCTATAAATCTTCTGTAAACGTTAAAACAATTCATGTCAACATTAGGAATAATACATATGATGATACTACCACACATGTAGAAATAGGATAAATGTTGTACGGTTTAAGTTTGTATTGCTTCAATCGCCATTAAAGCGTACGTACAATATCTTCAGAAATCTTCTCGCAAGAAATTTCGCCCTCATTATTGTAGCCATTTTTTTTTTATAGAAATGGTGGAATATGTGGCGCCTTCAAAATATACTTAATACTTTTCATAAAGAGTCTGAATGTATACAACACATGTCGATTAATACCAAAAGAAAATTATGAACGCATTGGCAGCGCTTCTATTTGTCCAAAATTATCATAGCCAGATCTTGCGACAGAATAACACCTATATAAATTACGTCGCAACTGAAACGTAAAGCATTACCAAACAACAACAGATCATGTGACACTAACCATGTAAGAATACACAACGCATGCTGTACACTGTGCTAGCCTCATTCATATAGAATATACATAACGATATCAGTTCCACCTGCTGCAAGATGGATACCGTAACACTAACAATGAAATTACTTCACAAACAGTCAACACTATGAAAAAACCCCACATGGGTTGAACATTTGTGAACTCCCCAAACTTGTGTGTTAGTTGTTTAACGCCGCACTTAGCAATATACCTGGTATATAATCGAGTGTGGACCAGACAGCCCAGTGGTTGATATTATGAGCAACATTCCACGGCGTCGGGGTCCGTGACATGCAATCAACCAGGTCACCGAGCCTGACAACCTGATCCATTAAGTCGCTTCTTACGACCAACATAGGTTGCTAGGGATCAAATCTAACCCCAAATCCAATGGAAGGACAATAAGTGTTTAAACATATCAAATATGAACACACTAATGGGCGCTAACGTACCGCTATTCACTGACAACTGAAACCATGTCAGAAGTTGTGACGTTTCATATTTACTCGTTTCCTTGGCCTATAATGGCCACATCAATGATGAAATGATTGATCATTTTCTTGTTGTCCAAGTTTGTGCATGAACTTACCGGACATAATACAGTGATTTGCATGAATGTACTGCTATGTATACAACCTTGTTTACGTGGACACCATTATGGCTTACAACGTAGACACAATTTAAGCATAACACTTTATTTAATACTGTAAAGGCGACGTTTCGGTATAGATCCTTTACCGTTGTCAAGCAAGGATCTATACCGAAACGTCGCCTTTACAGTACCAAAGAAGTTGTTTTTCATAAATTGAGTCTACTTTGTCATCCGTCAACTTCTAAGTAATGCCTACCAAACAATTCATTATGGTTTTATTGGCATACAATGGTCACATTAAAGACGAAGTGTTATTTCTCTGTCTGCATCATCTGCTTGGCATCGTCAATCAGCTCGTTTTCTAGTTACTCGTGGATCAAGCGTTCGAATGCGTGCATTTTTCTTCCTTTCTGTGATGATAATTCACAGGTTAAGTGGGTGTTAGGATAAGGTGCAAAATGAATTGTGACCCAGAGAGGTTTATCAAACGGGAAGGGAGTTACAGATGTGACGAGTTTCTGTTGACTAAGGTCCAGGACATGGGCTGTATGTGTTTCCTCTTCAAGAACGAATCCCAAATCCAGGCTGTAAGTTGTACCACTCTCGTTCAGTGTAAGGTTGCCATGGGACAGACATTGTCCGTTGTAGTACACCTGTAGACATATTCCATTATGAGCTGGGCATGTTACAAACAATACACTCAATCCAGTTGTTTGGGTCTTGTTAGCATCAACAGGGCTGTCAGTCAAAGCTGCTTCGAAGATAACTTTATTGTTATCCTCTGGTGTCAAGACAGAGTATGTGACCTCCATGCCATACATGATGGTCTGTCCTGGCCTGATGACCAGAGGTGTTGATGTCAGGACTCTGTGATATGAAAGTAGTCGGCATCCTGTCCTTGGTGGAAGATGTTCTTGTTTGCCATTGGTGACAACTGGCCCAGAAACCGTCAGACCGTCACTTGCAATACTGGAGTCCCATTCCAGATCCGCACCTGGGGAGAAGACACATCGTTCGTATCAGGTGAATGCGTTTCCGTGTATACAAACAACTAAACTAAATGTTATATTCGTGTGTGAATTGTTTGTTTAACCGTTTTAACAGTACCAGTCATATCACGGCGTGTCAGCTTAATGTGGGATGAAAGTGTTATATTAATATTGCTATGGTTTCCGTAAATTGTATGGATAATATTATATGGGTTAAAGTATAACGTGTCGGTAAATCAGAAATAAATATTAGTTTCATAAAACGAAAGTCTACCTGCCATATTTGGACAATTGAAGGACAACATTTAGTATCAGATAGACTGACTTCAGCAGGGGTGTAGTAATTAGTTTTTAATGTGAAGTCGAAACATACTACAAATTCCGATTACTAGAAACATATGCTTTGTAATGAAATGAGTCAGTGAGTGATTTGTGTGTTTATTCGCTTTTAACAGTATTCTAGTTGTCGGAGGAACGCCCGAAGGGATGTAGGTCTCAGGGATGTATGTAGCGTACACAAGGGACGCAACTCTGCAAAGGCTTCTTAGACGACTGCCAGCTGTTTATTTCGTTTCGCATGCGAGACACTAATCTACCCTTTCCAGATATATTGGTTTCCACAACATGTTTTATCATATGGAAATTGTACATTTCTAAGTGCGATTTCTAAGGAAATATTCTACCGACATAAAATAAGGGAACTGATGAAATGAAGGTGTAATGACGATAAATGTCATGTATATCAATCTGTGTTGTGCCCATGTTGGGCGACCTATACACGATACCCCGCCATTCTGCTACCACAAGAGCTACCCCTAGCTGGGCTGCATCATACCAAAATAAGTTAAAAGATAGTACTTGTTGTTATCCTGCATGACGCTGTGCATTATGGAGCTAAAACAAGGAGCGGTCAGTTCGGATCCAGTATACTGCGTCTGAGTTGGGTATTCATGTTAAACTGCGGCATGGTATCTCAGTGAGCTAGAACAATAAAACTGGCCGGAGTAGTACAATCAACCACACACACACACACACGTGCATGCATGTCGATAAATGGCAGTTTTTTTCTGGGGTAAGCCAACCTGGAAACCAGTAGCCCTAAAAATCATGGAACTGGCCGTCTCTCTGATGCACCCATGCCAACCACTCAATCTGAGGTACATGTACGGATATGTCCAGTCGGAGTTCTAGGACAAAGCCCACTACTGAGGGGATTGACCCTCGGGTCCTCCAAAGAGCTTAGATGAATATCCAGCAGAGACATGCTCTAATCCTTGTGTATGGAGAATGGTTGGGGGCAGGCCAAACAAAATCAGGGGTTTGGTAAACATGTAAACCCATCCACCCGGGAGACCTTTGCATCAAGGTCTCTGTATTTGTCATCAGAAGAAGTGGGGTGGTCGGGTAGCCTAGTGGTTAAGGCGTTCGCTCGTCACGCCAAAGACCCGGGTTCGATTCCAGACATGGGTACAATGTGTGAAGCCCATCATTTCTTGTGTCCCCCACCGTGGTATTGGTGGAATATTGCTAAAAGCGGCATAAAATCAATCAAACTCACTCATCAGAAAAGGGTCACAGCCTCGTGTCTGGAGATGAACTGCTGGAGGATAATAAAATCTCTAGCATTGGGTCTGTTGTGGAGAACCTTCTTCTGTCCAGGTGGAATCCAGATCCTATGATAATGGCAACACCATATCGCTCACATACCCATGGGCACCAATAGAATGATAATACCAAAGAGGATTACCCTTGGAATGTCGAAGATGATGGTCATTCCCCAAATGCCTGTCAGTGCGCTAGTGGGTCTCTTGGGTATAAAGACTATTATGGACGAAGCCTTATGGATCAGTGCTCTATCAAACACAGGTGGATTATACACATCCTGTCTGCATTTCGGACAATTTTGGGGGATTTCAACCATTGCGTGAGCAAATCGTATATCTTAATGAGGATCCAAAAGGCACAGACGAATGATTTCCAACACTTGTTTTCCGTGAAATTTCACTGCTTCAACCACTCCCAGCAATAGAATGAGGATCTGCTGTATATGCTGTGTTACTGTCCATGGGTGATGCAGCTGACTTCTTCCCCTTGTTTCTAGAGAAGGATGAGTACATCAGCTTCCATGAAACGATCAAGAAACACGAAAGGCGTTTTTGAAGATGATCTAATGCAGTCTTTCATCAGGCCTCGGATGAATCTCTGGAAGAATGGTTGGAGCGGGTACAGCAAGGAGAAATTGCAGCCTTTACGGATTTGCCAGGAGACTTTATGGAGAAACAGGTTGGTGCGGAGATTCTGCCAAGGAAGTGCTAATTAAGAAGCTTCTCACTATGTCTCCAACTTTGGTCTGAGGACACTGGGACACACTATTGATTCACAAGCAGTCTATGGCAGATCAACCATCCAAAGGGACGTGAAGCAGTTGCAGAAAGACTCTCCAAGGGACAGATAACCAATTAACATACAATGTTATCAAACAGATCTGGCTGGTCAACAGAAGAGAAGACTCCATGGACTGTATTTTGTATTAAGGTTCTTTAGGGCTTCAGACTATTGAACTGTTGAAAAAACTAACAATTGTAGTAAAAGATTGTGCGTTGTGGACATTGAGTAGTTGTCAGGAATGTAGTACTATTTAATGTAAGCAGTGGTGAGAAAGTTATTATATTTAGATGCTAGTGTGATGTGTAAACTACCGGAATACCATCGATTGTGATAAAGTGTAATAGAAACATGTAGAATATTCTATGTTGTGATGACACTGTGTGGAAATTTCCAGTAGCTAGTCAGACGGGATATAAGGGGAAGAGCGTGTCTCTGGTATCTCTCACACATTTCATTACATCAAGTCCAGCTTTCGTGTGAAGATCACTCATCACCCCGGATTCCCTGCCTAGGCCATCCCAGAAGCTTGACCACTGTCACCGTTGGGTGAAGATAGTATCATCACTGACTTTTGCTATCACCACTGTAGTTTTGTATGTGATACTTACCACTGTCATCATTTTATATACTGTCATTGAATATGGTACGACCACCATATTGTGTACTGTCATTGACATTACTATGAAGTAATTTGTATTGATTTGTAAACCTAGTCAATGTTGTAATACATTTGTTGATTGTATACCATTTGTTGTTTGTCTGTTGGTTTGACACTGAGTTCTTTTAAATACATATTTCTTGGAAATCGACAGGTAAAAATAGTGATTCATAAACACATGGTTGTGATATTGTCGGAATCACATAATAGATCTGCTTTTAACAGAGCTTTCCTATGATCATGGAAATGGCGTTGTCTCTTTTATTTACAACTTCAGTGCACCAAGACTTTTTGAAGACACCATTCAATCTTGTAAAATTGTGACAGGTTTTAGAAAGAAACATCTTTATACAGACCCATTTGACATTACAGTAACTATTCAAGTAACTTAAATTAGTTAAGAGAGAACTTCATTGCAGTGAACAGTTGTACTGCACTTCGTGATGCTCTCCACATCAATAAAGCAACCTGAGGGTGAACTCACATGCGAGCGATCCTTTTACTCCCAACGGCTGCCCGGTCATATATGCAGCTGTGGACACAAATGTGTTAGGGTGACATCAGTATCAATAGACAAGACGTGCCATTATTACCATGTGGTTCACAGTTATATGGGGATAGTTTATAACTCTCTGCACAGTTATGAAACAAAATGCACAAAAATATCAAAATAGAGGAAGTGTCTTTAAGAAAATACTTGAATTAAATTAAAGTACAGACTGATTACCTTGTGGCACTTGCTCGTGTTCAATAGTCATTGCATCTTTCAAGGATTTATTTCCATTTGGAGTCTCTGTTTGTGAAAAGACAACTGATTTGACGAGGCCGGCCATCTTCAACAAGGGGGTAATTTTACTGAAGCAAGTTGAAGCAAAGCTGACACCAGCTCTTCCAAGTGACGCCTTTGGTGACATCTCCAACATGGCGCTCAAGGTGGCAGCTGAAGACCCCATCATTTGTAGATCCTCTATCTTGTCAGCTTTACTCCGCATCTGTCGCGTGTACTTGGTAGATGATGTCACTTTTGCTAGAATATTTCTGGTGGAATCCAGTTCCTCCTGTGTCAGCTTCAGAATCTTGCTGGATCTCTTTTCAACATCTGACAACAGAATGCCTCTCCTCTGCTGTATTTCATCAATCAGTTCGTCAAAGGCTTTGTTGATGTCAACCACGGCAGCCTGTTTTGACACCTGTATGTTTGAATGCCTCTCCTTCAGACCTTTTTTTTATTCTCTCAAGTTCCTCTGCCTTCTGCCTCAGCTTGACTAAGGTATCGTCAATGGACTTTGCCTTTTTTCGGTGTGCTTCATTCACGGATACAACGTTGTGTCCGTTCCCTTCCTTGTGGTCCACTACAGTGCAGGACACACAGACGATCTTTTCACAAGTATAGCAGTAGAACTGTAGAGGTTGGTCGTGTTGTGCACACTTATGGTGACGATTGAAACTTTTACCTGGTTGTTTTTTCATTTCCTTAAAACTGACAGGTTGGTGATCTCGCATCAACTTAACTCTTTTGTGAGCATTTAGACATTCTTGGCACAGGAAGACGCCACAGTCATCACATCTGGACATGGCAGGGTTACCATCAGGACAATGCGTACAAGGCAGATCGAGACCCTTCACAATCTTCAGATGATCCAGGATTCTTAGGATGATAGGCTCTTTGGGCAGAGACTTCACACCACCTGGCAGGTTATGTTGGTGTCGACACATGGGACATGTTAACTTTGGGAGTCCTTTGCTGTGCGTCTCTAGACAAGCTTGACATATTGACTGTACACAGCAGGGCATACGACGAGGTGTCCGTCTGGCCTCATCAAAGTGTTCTGTACATATTGGGCACTCGATGAGGAGGTCCTTGATGGCGGACGCTGATACATAGTCCGACATGGTTATCTAGAAATATAGTTATTACATATGAAGCATTTTCGGATTTCTTGTATAATTTCGAGACACATCCAGACTCTCTCCCTATACGTAATACAATATAATATGATATTCTTTGAGGATATAGTTTCATATTATCACATACATAAGTACATTATTTTGACAAAAAGGTAGAAAGGAAATAGAAACAAAACCTGGAATGATGGTATTCCTTCTGAGACAAAATGTAAGACATCGTATAATTATGGGAGCCCATGTAGTCCCTGTCAGGTATGCATACAGTTGGGTACATTTTATCAAAGATGGTCCTCATCATGAAATGAATAAACCTTACCACCCAGGTGAAAAGCATTAATATTCAGTGAATATATTTTGTAACATGGAAAACTAATAAAAGTACAAAAACACGGTTGTTTTAGTAGAAACCTCTGTTTATCCAGTTGATAGAGACTAGAGAGTGAATATGTCATCTGCTGGCAAATTGTATTTACTGTTTGTAGGTCGCACTTGAGAACGAGGCTTGGTTTTTACGGGAAAAGATATCAATTACAAAATTGAGGCTAAACTCGCACACTGTATGCTATTTTAATATGTTATTCTGGTCGAAAACTCTTTGCAAATCTATATGTAGGTCATCTTGCCTTTGACAGTCGGTCAGTCATATGCCTGAAAGATCACCTCAACACATAAACAGTTTTTTTAGGCGTGAGAACTACACAGGAAATGTCAGCATGTATGATAAATTTAGATTTAAAAATTCAACTGATTAAAAGACATTTCTGACATCTGCAATAGTCAATGAAATTCCAGATCAGGACAGAGCGTCGCTCATGATTAATTGACTGTAATATCTGTACAGGTCATCCCAAGTCAGATGGAGTGCTATTCGTTATCAAATTACCCATTGGGCGTAATATTTAGTTCTGTTCAGGTGAATTGGTTATTCCGTGATAGTCTGCAACGTTATTCGTTGTCAAAATACATATAGGGAGTACTATTCCAAGTTTGTCAGTCTACCGGCCAGTACATCAATACTTTTCACGCTGGTGCAAAATATCCATTCAAAATGAATAGCCGTAGGTATTTATAACTCCTGAGCTCCGGACAACCTAGCGGTCACCAAATAACTACACCCAGGACGCCCCCAGGCAGGGGACCCGACACCCGCCGAGACCCGAGAGATAAGGAGCCCCTCCCTTCAACACAGGTAGTCAGATCGATCCACAGTCAATGAGCATGCCTAGCTCGTCAACCGGCACCCGGGTCGATAATTACCCATTCTCTCCAACACTGTCCGTTCTACCAGCCATGAATAACCTAACTACACGACGTAACGAGCGGCAAAGGAATATATTTACACAGACATAAGCTTGTATTAAAAGCAGGTCGTCAATAAGCATACATTTACCACGCCCACTAGATACGATTTCGAATATGATCAACAAATATGATGAGGATTTCGGTTTCCTTCAAAAGTAAGCTCTCTTGTTCTTTGCGTTCTTGGTCACAACCTAGATTGTTTTGTATTCATTCCAAAGCGCCATTGTAGAATTAATTCAAAGTGAACTCACTGATTATTGAAATCACTTACCTTGATATTGTATTGTATTATGAACGGACATATAATTCTTAGTCATCACTAGCTCTCTCTGTCTTTAATGCGTATCAATACCACCATCGTAGTAACATGTCTGCCAGGAATGCGGAAGTCGTTATCCATGTAGTTATAGTTACGGGGAAGGTTCCAGACATGCGCTGTGTCTAGTTTCGTTTTGTAACTTGACGTTTATTGTTAAAATGTATATCACATTTGAAGCATCTTAAAATATTTGAATCCATATTGTAGTAAAGATCCTTTACACTGTTCTACGTATGAAGTATCACATAAATATAAACATGGCAGGCTTATACAAAAACAAACTAGTTATGTTCCATTATACCGCAGTTTTTTTTAATTTCTTTTTTTATTGCTGAACTCAATATGTCAAGCTGTATGACAATGGTCTGTAAATAATTGAGTCGGACACACTAGTGATTGATATAACGAGCAACGTCTCACGCTGTCAGTGCGCGATGATACGCATTGAACCAAGTCACTGAGACTGACCACTCGATCCATTAAGTCGCCGGGACCTTTTCAAAGTATTCTGTGCGTATTGGACACCCGGTTACGGGGCATTCACATTCAACTAGTTGTACCGTGTGAATGCCCCTTTAGGAGGTCCTAGATGGCGGATGCAGATACATAGTCCGATGTGAAGAACTGCTGTCGATAATAAAGTATGTTAACACATCACAGGTAAACATCTGAGATATTTGGTGCTTTTCCAAGTGCATTAATAAAAATATGTTTTGTTTATAATTGGTATTGTTTATTGCTGGGTTCACTCCCTGGGCGCGATCATCTATGAAGTCAACTTTCCAGTAGTCCACTTTCCCTTCATGTCGAGTAATATTCCAGCAGCTCAAGCCTTTGGTGTTGACATTTCACAACTTTTGAGATACAATGAAGCATCCTCTTTTCACTAAGATTTCAAAGAGCGTCATACGACTGTTGAACAGAAGTTGTTTAATCAAGGATACAGCATTCAATGCCTCACTAAAGCTTTCAAAAAGTTTTATATTGACATGTGGAGGACATTTTCAAATGTGACGCATCGGTGACCGATGCAAACCGGGCTTGGATACGCCCACCTTTCCAGGAACACCTGGCATCATAACTGTTTGATAGTGATTCATAACACATGCTCATGATATAGTCCAGATCGTACAATCGACTCTGCTTGTAGCAGAGATTTCTTATGAATATGGAAAGGGTTTTGTCGCTTTTATCTGTAAATCATAGATCGTGCGTTGTTAAAATATTGAAAATAAGCAGTCATTAATATATACATGTATGCGACAATGCGACAGTGGTCACGCTGACGATACAGGTTCGATTCTCTGATTTGGTTAGCTGCGAAATCGTGACTATTCACCGCTGCTTCTTTACTATCTTTATGAAATTTGTCACTGTATCAGCTGTACTAACGACAAGTAACTAGCTACGTTTCGTATCCTGCCACAAGTATATATTCTCACCACCAAAAGAAACGCGAACCATAGAAACATATAGAGAAGTATGTACGTCAAGAAGAGATGTCACCAATGTGTACCACTTAATAACATAACTAACGACCAGTCAAGTGTTACCACAGAGTGTCTTTATTCTTATCACGATAGGCTGCAAGTGTTTTCCAACTTTACACGCAAATCCTGCACGAGGCGAGATATAAAGAATTGATTCTTTGTTTATATGTTGTTTAAAGCCACACTCAGCAATATTCTAGGTATTTGACTGCTAAATTTATTTGTGGTTTAACATGATATATTGCACTCCATTTTGTGGCATAACATGAGGCAGTCTACTTAAAGTAACGTATAGCAAGATACGCGACGCTGAATTTGTAGTTTAACATGCTATATTACACTCCATGGTGTGGAATAACATGACACACTCTACTCAAAGTAAGGTATAGCAAGATACGTGACCCTCTATGATGCTCCAAATCTTGATTTATCGTTTCAGAACGAACTTTCCATTTCCATGACAATATGTAACATTTCAACAAGCTCAACCTCCCCGTTTACATGTGCATTATG